GATTTTCTAAAATCAAGTGTTTTGTGCCCTGTTTGGGAGAAGGTGTCTAGCTTAAGCCCTGTGACAATGGTATCAGCACTGCCAATGAAAGTAAAATTAGTCAATGTATTTCTCAATTGATTGAATCTGCTATAAGATTTAATTTATGTTTTCAGGTGTAAAAAAAAAAAGCTTTATTAAGCACTAACTGTACTTAAATTGTTTTACAGTAAACCAAACCTTTAAAAGACATCCTTTTTATAATGTCTGTACTTACTGACAATTTCTAACTGGGTTCCATCTGGCCCTTCTAGTGTATGATTTTTGTCTTTCAATAGAACAATCTCAGTAGGAATCAATTCCATCTGTAACAAAAAAAAAAAGAAAAAGAGGAGATATGAATAAATAGTTTTATTTTAGAACTATCATGAAGAAAAATGTGTTTCTGGCATATGTATTTCTGATAGATTCTTACCTAGGCTCACATAACAGCTTTTTAGATTTTTACTGCCTTCTATATGTGCAAAATTTCACTTGTCACTAGCTTTTACCTACCCTTACATGTTTTTGCGTGAGGCAGCTGTGTGATAGCATGCAAATGAGCATTTGACAACCCTCCATTAATAGGAATGCATCCAACTCCTTGCACAGCTGACTCCCTCTAAGCAGCTTAGCTCAACTTCACTTTAATATTGAGCAAAATAAAAAGAAAAAGAGGAGGAAGGGTGGGAAGTGTGATAGAAGATAAGAACCTATAGGAAATACATTTTCAATGTAGGAAAATGTTCACTTCCAATACAATATCTTACCACTTCTCACATAACAGCTAGAATCCCACACTGACCTGGTGGAGGGACCAGTGTAACATTACCTAGATGATCCTCCTTCAGGAAGCATCTGAAGCAAAGCCATATGGAGGAAGGAGTGTATGTTTGTGTGAATAAAGAGTATGTAAAATACATTCATGGGAGATCACAGCATTTATGAGCCAGGTATACTCTACACAGTGTGAAATTGATGTGTCGCAGTAAGGGCAAAATCACAGGAGGAACCACATAAATTAAATGAAGGGATTTCCAGCAGTTACGAGGTGGTAAGGACTCCATACTTTGCTGGAAGAAAGGGGAGGAATGTGACACCAGAGACAGTGCAATGGGTGACCATGAAACCTTACATTAAGAAGAGCAGACTGTTCCTGATGCAGTCAAACCAAGGAGTAGCAGAGATAGGTAGCAATCCCCTTTTGCTTTATTCATGTTAGTCCATGAGTGTATGGTCTGGGGCAAACATATTTATGATGTAAAAATACTCCAAAGAAAACACCTACAAGCAGTCTTGTGGAACACTCCATCTCAACAGTGATTATTGACTTGAATGGCCATACAGTGTGGGTTTAAGTATACTGAGTGAGATTTGTATATGTGAGACAGGCCCAGGTAAAAATGAAAAAGTGTAAAAAGGGCACTTACCCACTCATGGAGAAACCATGGAGTTCAAGATAGTGATGGGAGGCAGATGGGAACCTGTAGAGAAGGAAATAGCCACATGATGCTCATAATTGGGATAAATGTATGGATAGTGGTCCACATGCCAGCATAAACTATGTCCTCTAAAGAACAATAGGAACAATAAAAGGGAGCAGTGTGAGCCACATAACAGAAGAGAGCCCAGACAAGACATAAGAGATGATCTGGATCGGATTGAATATAAATGGAAGGGAGGGAAATGGGAGTGAAAGCAAATTTGGCCTCATGTGCGGAAGTTTTTGGCAGGAAAGACCTATCCGAGTAGTGGATGACATAGGACCAATAATATAATGTACAAGAGACAATGAGAACAAACATATGTGAATGTTGATGTTCACATGCTAAGAGGAGGAAGAAGAGTTCTTGAAGGAGAGATGATATAAGGAACAGGAAGGACAGACTCAAAAGGAGGAAATGTGAGGGTATGGAGGACAACACTGAGGTTCAAATCAGAGAGGGCAGTAGGATGTGGGGGAAGGTAAAGGCAGAAGGAATGAAACAAAAGGGTGAGGACAAGAGAAGCAAAGACATGGCAAAATCTTCTGAAACGGAAGTTGGCTGACAATGCAATACGATAATCAGCAATAGTGGATACTGTCTGCCCCCTTGTCAAAAAAGCCAGGTTAGGAAGGAAATCAGGTGTGGGAGAGTAAGACAAGATGGAGGAAAATCATGACAAGAGGATTATCAATGCTAAACATAACACTTACATTGGTAAACTGACTAACACAGGAATTAGTCTGGCCCATATGGCATGGGACTCAACAAAAGCCAATCATGAAGACAGAGCATTAGAAGGTAAAGATATAGTATGAGGTTGTCTGAGGAGGGTGGGTGAGCGAGAAAGAGGAGGTGTCAGTAGGAAGGACACAGAAGTGGAAACAATGGTTGTGCTGGCCAAAGTGAAGCTACCAAGAGGATTCAACATGGAATGGTTTGTATGATGGCAATGACACGAGGATGAAGACAAAAGGACCTCAACAGCTACAGCCAAATGATGTGGAATAGGAAACCTAAGCCTGGGAAGCTTGAAATTCAGAGAACAGTGAATGAATCCAGTTCTGGAGTACCCCACTGTGAACAGAGACAATTATTCTTCATAACTGTATTACAATACAGTCTGTGATAATTTCACTTTAAAAATCACCACTATACACTCTTTATCTCTAAACTCACGATAACACAGTCTAGAACTAGATCTAAATAATGATTTTTCAATGCGTATTCATACCCCAACAGAAGTCTAGAACATTTCACACAATATTAGACATTCTCATGCAATAATATGCAATTATCCAATGAGAAGCTCAAAAGTTCTAGCAGCATAATACAATAATCTTAATATTGTAAACAATCACTAATTCATAACAACTGAACTACAAAACATATGTTTGTGAAAAGTTACTTAAACAAACTTACCATAAAACATCACTTCTAAAAATAACTAAATATAATACCTACACTACATAAACCATCAAAATCATAGCGCTCACATTAAACTTAAAATGAAAGTCATATATATCTCACACACTTCCACATCATATTCTTGCCCTTCTTCTGTTCTAATCCTTGCATTCAATGTCAAACTCTCTTACCTTTTCTTTTAATTCTATTTATTGTTTCTTTCTATATTTCTTTTATCCTATCAAACATTCTCACAACTATTACTGCTTTCTAGATTTTTCAAATAATTTCTTTCTATCCACATTATTGAAATCAGCTTTTAATTTTTTTATTAAAAATAGCATAAAACTTTACCTTATTTGCATACAATTTTTATTGAATATTACTTTACTAATAACTTACTACTAATTTACTTTTCGTTTTAGTTTTAATTTAGTTTAACGTTTTAACTTTACTTTCCCTTTACTTACCTTT